ATTGAGGTTATGACTGACCCTAGCTAGCACAGGCTATAATTAGACTCAGCGCAAAACTACAATTCACAGTATCTCTACTTTTCCAGTACAGAATTCACAATCTGAGCATCCCAGGTCAAGCGCAATACAGTCCAGCAGTCACAGAACAATTTTGGATGGAAAAGAGTCAACAAAGGGTAAAAAATGAGCAGAGGAAGGTAGGAGAAGGATGACTATGGCTGTCATGCAGTCTGCGATTTTTAAATCCAGTCCCTGACAGACAGATAGACCATCAATACTAATTATTCTAACCCTATCTGAATCGCTATACAGGTATGTGCATGGAACGGACTCACTTTCAGAGTTCTCTGCAAGGCTTGATGAAGATCTGGCTATGGCAGACTGAATCTCTCATCTCGCCAATTTCTTCCAGAGCTTCCTCCTCTTCTTCCCACGCACAGAACCACTTCAAACTTGTTGATCCTCTTCAGGATCTTGAAGCGCTGCAACCCCTTTCTGCCAGATTCCTTGAATTTGACCTTGTGGCACTCAGAAGCCAATAGGAAATTCTCTTGCCACAGGTCCCCTCAGCTGCTGATGCTATACATAGCCCCAGATGGGGTTATTTTCTCCTGAGATTGATACAGTCTGTCAATCCCCTCAGCGCTGCTCAGGGATGAAGCCGCTCGGAGATCCCTGAAGTCCTCAGGGATAATTCGCCACTATGAGGCAATGCGCAATACTGCCCTCAGGGTTGGCTATGGCGAATTAGCCCTGTTCTCGCCACTTTCTGACAAGTGCCCTGACAGGCTCAGTGCGCTTGCTCAGTACAAACACCGAACTCCTCGATTCACCGCTTGAAATCTTCTTCCCTGCTGACTCAGTACTGAGGAAGATGAATCGCCATGAAACTTCTCGCCAGTAGATCGCCAGATGAAGAAGATGCCCAAGTTGTACTCAACCCTAAGTGCTCCAATTCCAATCCCGCTCCGATACCAACTGTTATGAACTTGGTTGTATGACGATTTTTACCGCCACTCGCACACAGACAGTCTCACACGCTCCCATACATGCATAAGAGAAGGGGGAGAGGAGGCAGAGTCTAGACTGTACACATATCAAAGTAGGCAGCGGAATACAGCTATGCACAGGTGGGGAGAAGACACACAGTGTTTCTCACTCTCTCTGACAGTACTCCGAACAACCAATCACAAGAAGAAACCTGCAAGGATAACGATTGGAATTCACATTGACGAAGAGCCAATTAAAACCTGATATCGTTACAGAGTTTGTTCCATTGTCTCGCCACACTCAGAACTCCACACTCCACTCTCTACCCTACACCCAGTTAGTAGCTAACAACCGAAACAGCCTCCGAGAGTCCAGCACCAACCACCCAGATGAAGAACAGATCCGGCGATGAAGTCTTCAGTGTCGATGAACAACTCTTACGAAGAAACCGGCAGCTATGGCTGCCGCCACCCACAAACACTCAGTGAAGAGCCTCGAAATAGCACGGCCAGACGCAGATACCCTCAGGGGTAGATGCGCTGAGGATGCCCCAGTTTCGGCAACCTTCAGAAGGGCCGGCTATGGCTGCCGTCCAAGGCAAGGGTCTCAGGATGCCGCCTGTAGACAATTGCCACCGCCAATTGGCTTGGCTTCTCCAAACGCTGCTTCACGAAAGTGAACAGCCAAAAGTCCTAAACCGTCCTACCCCAACCTACTTGTAGATTCTACACTATCCTAGCCCAGGACCTGCCAGTACCGTTTCAGTCAGGGCCTACTCGGCCTCTATGAAATCGGCCCTATTGCTGCACTTAGGGCTCAAGGCCACTTAGGGCCGCTACTCTACTCTCAGCACTAAGACTCTCTACGATCAACATACTCTACGCTACTACTACGCTCGACGCTATTCTACGCTGCTACACTCAACTTCGCTACTCTCTCTCTCTCTCTCTCTCTCTCTCTCTCTCTCTCTCTCTCTCTCTCTCTCTCTCTCTCTCTCTCTCTCTCTCTCTCTCTCTCTCCTTGGTGAGTAGAGGGGGTGGGGAAGGTGCGCTCGACACGTTTTTTTTTTTTTTGGAGGGTTCGATGCTCAACTTGACTCGACTTTGACGCTACTTGGACTTTGCTCTACACACACACACACACCCACGTACACACCCACTGGCCCACCCGCCCACAACACACAGCGGCACATCTGTTCACAATCTGATTCGGTCACTTGCTGCTCGGTTTCGCCTTCGCCCAAGGTGTCTTTTGGGAAATGCTCCAAGATGCACGCCTAGCAATACGGCCGCTCGAATGTTTTGTAGTGAACAGCACATGCCAAGCAGATGGATATTGAATACTTGATTAATATGTTATACCCCTCATGCCTTCGGGTTCGATTGCAAAATTTTCTGTTTTCTTTGCGGGCGGAGCCTCAACAGGTAAGCTAGTGGTTGTAATGAGCGCTTATGTCTTCGCTGATACTCGGTGAATCGGGAATTCAGACTCATCTGCACGCCAGTGCATGCATGCGGGCTCGAACACGTGTTTGCATGACTGTTCAAGCATGCCGGCAAGATCGGCAGCGGTGTATGGTTGATGTCTAATGACATATCTGCCTGGTCATGTGACAGAGAGAGTCCTTGGTTGCGCAGGCTGCATAAAGGGAATGCACAGACTGTAGCGGGTTAAATATTACCCAAATCTTGAATTGATGAACTAGAACATTCCTTGACTCGCAGCTGGGCATCCTTCTCCCCTCCCCTTTTCCTTCTTCTCTGTACTTGTCCTGCCCAGATGAGGCTGCTCGCATTGGCATGCTTAAATCCTGGCCCTTGGATTCCTTTTCTTTTGTTTTTTAAAAGCTCGACTGGTTGCTAGGCGAGGATGATAAGACCACCCCTACCCAGTCAATTGAACCTCACTTCTCGACACCTTGAGCACACACACACATTGAGAGGTCACATGAAATCCACACTGGATTCGAGAGATGCAAAGTCCAGATATGTGCAGCCTAGAAAGTTCCAACGAATTACCATATTAAACAGTCTCGGAGTTCCAGTCACCAAGCGCTTCAACACCGCAGAGTTCAGCAACCCAATACCAGCATCCTCATCTAAGGTAGGTGACTCTCTTCTCTCCCTGGCTGTCTCTCTCTCTCTCTCTCTCTCTCTCTCTCTCTCTCTCTCTCTCTCT